TGTAATACTTTTTTATTGGATTGGAGCATTCGAATGTACGAGTGTTGCTCATTTTAGACTAATAATTTTAATATGGCCTAATTAACACTTTTTGATAGACCACTAATATTTAGATATTAAAAATTATTTGTCATAAGTTTAGGAAGTAATTATTTTTGTGCTGAGCTCACAGTTTGAGCGAAGCAGAATTTTATTGGTTAGTACTAGAATTTTTTTATTGGTCCAACTTTTCCTTTACAAATTTAAAAATGGTTGGACAAATTCACATAGATTTCCCATAATTTTTAAAAATTACAAGAATTTTTTAAGATCTTTACATTACCAAAATATGAGTCATTATACTTTTTAGCCCCATCTACCCCTAAAAAATAAATATTTTACATTTTCTTATCCATTGTTAATTATTTAGGCAAACTAAGGTAATTCTAATATTAACATATGTTATTCTCAGCCGTAAAGTTTCGCTTAAAGAGTCTCTTATTTTTTAAAGACATGTGACGATATTTTTCACAATAAAAAAATCTATTTTCCAAGTGACAAAATAAATGCAATGTGTTAGCAATAATTAATGTTACTATTATTATTGAAAATATATCCTTCTAAAACAATCAGAAGCGTGTGCTTGTTTGTAACGCGCAAAATAACATCAGCGATACATGCAGCGGCGTCATCTCGTGACACAGTTATAAACTACATGGGTTACAGAGTTCTATTATATGTAATGCCAGTGTATTTTATAACAAAGCTGTTTTTATTGAGGCGGTTCATGACCTAGTAGACAATACATAATATACAAGGTGTCCCTAAACTTAGTGACATAAATTTAGGAGCAGATTAAGCAAGTCAAACTAAGACGAAAATGTAAATAAATATTTTTTCTGATTACGTATGTTTAAAATATACAGGGTGATAAAGTGTTACTTATCATATCAGTTTTTTTAATATAACTTCTACTATGGTAGACTTGGAAAGGTGATATTTTGCAAACAGTCACTTACTACCAAAACACATATTCACACATAATTACAATTGTTCGAGTGAACACAGTGTCGTAGAAACAGGGGTTGCTTAAGCTTATTGTCTCATACAAACTTTGAGGTTAGGTTTTTATACCATTTGATGCAATTTTTCGATTACTTAGTTCGGCTTCTATTAAAAAGGTGTACCTCTCAAACTTCGATAAAATAAACCGTTTCAGAGATATTCGAGATTACAATAATTGTTATATCGCATTAAAGGACTAAAAAGTATATGATAACAATTTTTTTTAATGTGACGGTCAGGGCAAAAAGTCCCGAGGCTCTTTTTAGGCCCTTTTTAGTTTTTTCAATTAAAAAATAAAATTTGTTATCATATACCTTTTAATCCTTTTAAATAATGCGATATAACAATTATTGTAATCTCGAATAACTCGGAAACGGTTTATTTTATCGAAGTTTGAGAGGTACACCTTATTAATGATGTAATCAATAATTGCATCAAATGTTATAAAAACCTAACCTCAAAGTTTGTATGGGACAATAAGCAACCCCTGTTTCTAATTATGTGTGAATATGTGTTTTGATAGTAAGTGACTGTTCGCAAAATATCACCTTTCCAAGAAGTTATATTAAAAAAACTGATATGATAAGTAACACTTTATCACCCTGTTTCTTGGCAACATAAATAATTAGGAAAAATATTTATTTAGGTTTTCGTCTTATTTTGACTTGCTTAATCTTTTCCCAAATTTATGCCAATAAGGTTTGGTCAGTTTAAAAAATTATTCAGACATTTTATCACATTAATTATTAGTACTTGTCATTTTAGTTTTAAAATTCTGTTCCATACAAAACCTATGAAATATAGGTTTAGTTTTCACTATTGCAATATGATGGGGACATGGGGTTATAGACTGTGATGCTAACTTTCAACCTTAATAATTAATTATTAAGTCATTTATGTTTAATTGAAAAATGTTCTATTAATTTTTGTTATTTTAAGATCTTATTTATTGTCTCAATTTATTATTTTCTTAATAAGAAATGTTAGGAACAACTAACAAATGGCAGAGAGCCTATAATATGACCCATATATTAAAATTTTCATAATTCTGTCGTTCGTCCATAGATTACTTAGGTCTAAAAAATTCTCAGATAGTATCTAGTACCTAATATTAATAAACCATTACCTACTTACACGTTAACCTTTATTGAAAAAATATTGATACCGGATATTTTATTTATTTTATTTTTTATGAAAACATAGGTACTTGCAGAATCACTGTTATTAAAGAAAAATAAAAGGAAATACGAACAACATCTGTTTAGGTTTTTGTTGCAGACCAAGCAGAAATTTTTTACGTTTATTTCTGCGATTTACGAACACGAGCGGTTTTGTTCTTTTTTTGCAGCTTCCGGCGGATTCATCGATATATTACAGGCTTTTAACTTGCATCGAGACCGAAAAGATCAAATATATTGAGACATGCAACTCTTTTTCTGCAAACATAAAAGGGATTTTATTACAACAAAGTTTTGAAATTATTAGTTTTTTATTGCGCGTTCGGGTGTTTTAGGGAGGCTTCATCGCGAAATTGAAAAACCGCCAGAGCCGTTCAAAGGGAATTTCATTTGGGCTTGAATAGGGTTGGGCGTATGTTAATCCCGCCTGTGAACGTTGAGGAAAATACATACTCTAATAAACAGAGCTTGGCAAATTGCAAAGTGTTTTGTTTGGATAAGCTGCTAATGAAAATTAAATAAATTACGTAAATTACGAAATCACGGTTTTACAATTTAGGAAATAAAATATGCATAATGGGCTTAATTAAAACTAAATAAAGGCGAAATTACTTTAGATTTATACAGTTTTAGCTCAAAATAAAATATTTTTAAAGCTCGGAGTATTTAGTTTGTTATTAATCTATTTATTTATTTATCATAGTTTTTAAAACTGCAAAACTTTAAATATTATTTTATGTAATTTGTTTTAAGCATTTTCTTTTTTACTAAGCCTTTTGTAATGATTATGTTTGAAAAAAATTGTCTTTTTTCAACCGAAGATGATAAAATTGTTTTTTTAACACACCTTTATACCAAATTTTATTTAAATCCAGCCAACCATAAGTACTAAAAATGGCGGATGCGCCAGACTAAAAGTGAATTTTGTGTTTGTAGGTAAATAATAAAGATTTTTAGGTTTTCTTTATTAGTCCCAGTAAAAAACAAAGATACAGGGTTAACAATATCAAACGTCAAAAATTAACCAACTTTAAAAATTTGGAAAGGAGGTTCGGGCTTACATTGCATAATGTCAATTTGTAAAACCAAAATTATTTTATTAAATTTAAACTACGAAACAGACAGTTTTTTAACTGATTTTATAAATATTTTTTATTTTAATACATAAGGCACTATATATGGGTGATTCTACAAAAGTTGGGCAACTTTTGACCTCATTTTGTTTATATAGTTTTCGGAGGAAATTAAACAGTATTTTGTTATGAGAACATAGATAATATAATAAATATACTGTTCCAGACCGGGCCAGTCACTTTTTCAAACAGTTTCTGAAATATCTGTGTTTTCTAAATTTGAATGCAAGGGAAGTGACGAGTATACCAGGGTACTAATTAAAAACATAATTTATTGGAAAATATAAGATTTATTGCAACTTTGAGCATATTTACATTAAATATCTTAAAATCAAATAATACCACACATCAGTGGCGGCTGGTGGATTTTGGGTATACCGATATCTCAATTATTAGATATGGGACCCACACCAAATTTATATGAGTTTATAATGACATTAAATAATCGTTCTGCGCAAGCAGAATTTAAATTGAAGTTTGCGAAAAAAAGATAACCGAAACATCGAACATGGAACTGACGACACGGTACTGATGAATGAGATACAAATTTGAGATTATAATTCGGAATTAAGTATTTTACTTATATTTTTTATTAGTGGATGCTACTTATCAACAAATCACATATGGCCTTATAATTATAATTATATAAATTATTATTATTATTATATAAATTACAATGAAATATATATACGTAAGAAAATAACTACTCACCACAGTACTGAAATTTTGACTGGAACTATACGTGCATTCACCACAACTTCGCCGCTTGCATTGTTTTCAAGATGACTGTCGTGCAAAGGGCGGGCTCTGTAGGTAATTTTTTACCAACACTTGAGTTAAAACGAGGACTTGACGTTTAATATTTCGCAAAAATTTTGAATTTTAACATTGGACCCAGAACTGACGGGTAAAAGTGAGTACAAAGATTATCAATTTTTTGAAAATTGCTATTATTCGAATCTATGATAAAATATGAAAAATACATTATTTAATGTTTTATAGTTTGTAGTGAAATTGAAAAATTTAAGATAAATTGAATATATTTTAAAACAAAACCACTCAAATATTTGACTTAGGAGTTGTGACACGCCAAGGTACTGATGTTTTAAATATTTATTATGTTTAGTTATGGTAGTAACAAAATAAATTAACTCAAAAATCCCTAGATTATCACGTGTTTGTATTTCAGTGTTGCCGTATCTTCTAGACGATAATGACAGATTTCTAATTTTAGTTGGACCCAGTCAACACTATCGTTAACTTGTTGCAGCCCATGTAGTTTTAGCAGCTTTTATAATTTTTTACTCGAAAACCAGGCGGTCAATCTTTCTAAAACTTTGTAAATGTCTTTTAAGTAGACTCTTTTACAACCTAAAATTTTTCAACATTGTAAAATTAAACATATCTGCTATATTTTCAAAAATATTTATTTTATTTTTTTTTTATTTATTTATTTACAAAAAAAAAGTTAACAATTTTACCAAATTCTACTACTTCGTGTAATGTATGAAAGTGATGAATTTTAATAAAAAAAATAAATAAATACATATACATACCTAATAAATTTACGTAATAACTATTTTAAGACATATTGCAATAAAATGGTAAATCAAAAACTAAATCAGTGGATGCAAAATTATCATACGTCAAAATGCTTTCAAGTTTGTTCGTGCAATCACATTCTAAAGGATTATTTTTAGCGTTTACAAACTTTTTATCTCCTTTGATAGTATGCGCTATATCTTCACTAATACAAGTAATGGCGTTATTGGTAAAATAAAGCTTGCTGCGTTCTTTGGAGGAGAAATAAATATCGTCCAATGATTTTAACGCGTTGTTTTCCAGATGTAATTCCACAGGTGGCAAATCGCCCAAGGATGCAGCACTAAAGTAAGACATCCGGTTGTTGGTCAGTTTTATGTTGAGTAAATTATTGTGCAGCGGTCTTAAATCTTCGAACGAAGTGTCCAGAATTTTGTGGATTAGGTTGAAGCTGAAGTCGATTTTACGTAGTTTAGGGCAGCCTCTAAATGAGTTACCGTTAATGCTAGCAATTTGGTTTCTATCCAAATGAACTGCTTCCAGTTCTTTGTAGTTGGAGAACGCGTCTTCTTCGACGTAATCGATTTTGTTTTTCGATAAATATAAGGTTTTTAGCGATGGTAGATTGTCGAAGGCTCCCTTCCTAACTTTATCCATATTATTCACCGATAGAGATAAAACCTTTAACTTTGGCATCCTGTGGAAGGCGTTGTTTTCAATGGATTCCAACCCTATGCCAATCAGCGACAGGGATTCCAGTATTGAAAAAGACTTGATCATATTTTCGCACAAAACGGTCACATTTGCTTTGGTTACGTCGATTTCCTTATAAGAGTCCAACGTGTAAAAATCCTTGTCTTGGAAAGCCTCACCTCTGCTGTAGTGGGTCTTATGGACCCACGCGTCCACTTTGGAAAGCCTTTCTGGGGCACATATTTCACATGAAATTACACTTAAAATGTTGAAAAGTAAAATTCCTTTAAAAAGGCTATCCATTTTGCGTGAAGGTTTTAGATTGACTACGTGTGAATGCACAATATTCGCCTATATGTATTCTAATCAGTTTCGATACCCTTTGATCCCAAATGTGGGCCAAGTTTGGTCAATTTTTGTTTGTTTTGTGTTAGTAGGTTATAACATATTTATTTAATAATTTCAATAAATAAGTGACAACATAAGTATTTGGTTTATTTTTTTTGTAAAAGAAACTTTAAATTTTTGCTGTTGAGTCATTACAAACACCAAATGGGGTGCGCTGCTTGATTTTTTATTTTGATAAAAAAAATTGAGGATGATCTTTTAGGTATCAAATATGAAAATCCGTTGCCGTTTTAATTTTTGAATTCTTTACTTTTAATCAGCACCCTTTAGAAATCTGAAATCGTATCGATTTCTTACTCTCTTATGGGCCAGAACTTTTTTCTGTGACAAATATTTAAATGATTTTAATTTTGTTTTACTGTTCAGTAAGTGTGTTTTCGATATAAATTATTATTATCCAATTAGTTAATCTCATAAAAGAATGGTAAACCACTAAAGATTCATGATAATTTTACAATTTTTGTGATTTTTGTCTGGCTCCTGTGCCTATTCTGCTAATTCTAGAAAGTTGTTGAAATATGAAATATTTGCGAAATATTTTTCACAGTTCTGACACTTCTCCACCAAACATGAAAGCCATCTAAATTTTAAATTATAAATAAAACTAACAATATTGCTACTAAACGGGCATTAAAAAAATTATTATATCTTTTACATGGATAAAAATAAGAAAACAAGACTAACTAGACTGAAAAGATTTTTATTTTTTCCTCAACATAATGATTTCTGAGAGCAAAATTGGCTAATTTTGAAAATTATCAAGTTTCAATAATTTTTTTAATAAAGAAAATGATAGTCTAGAAACTTAAAATAATAGTTACGTTTTCTATTGTATAAGTACTTGATACCTGAAAAAAGGCAACTTTCTAGATTTAGCAGAATAGGCACAGGAGCCAGACAAAAATCACAAAAATTGACAAATTATTACAAATCTTTAGTGGTTTACCATTCTTTTATGAGATGAACTAATTAGATAATAATAATTAATATTGAAAACATACTTACTAGGCAGTAAAATAAAATTACAATCATTTCAATAATTGCCACAAAAAAAAGTTTTAGCCTCTTATAACAGAGTAAGAAAATGTCACGATTTCAGGTTTCTAAAGGGTGCCGATTAAAAATAAAGCAACTAAAAATTAAAACGGCAACGGTTTTTCATAAATGATCAATGATTTTTTCATTAAAATAAAAAATTATGCAGCGCACTTTTAAATTCATTTTTGGTGTTTTCATTTGGATTGACTCTGTTATTAAACTTGACAAGTAGACACAGAACCATCGATGACAGCAATTTATGCGTTTAAATAAATTTGGTTAGATATTACGTAAAAAAAAACAAAGTAGGTCGAGATTAGTTTAATTTTCTGACATTTTTTTGCTGTGACACCATTTAGAGGCATAGACAATTATTTGTTGTACATAATTTATGTTTTATGCACTGTTTATGAGATTATTCACACCCTTATGGTCGTTACTGGAATTTACTGCCATACTAATCATTGCCAAGGGAGGAGAATTTAGTGACCCCTATAAGGGCGTAAACTAAATGAAAAAATCAATATATACAGAATTTATGTGGTGTTTTATAACCTTAAATAATTCACGACCAACCGATAAACTTTCAGCAACATTTTATTACATCGTATACGCAATTTTAATTCCTGATATCTTATTTCCGAAATAATGGTAAGAGGGTTTATTTTTACTTCTTTTTGCGGTCGATTCCACTAAACCCAATTAGTGTGCTGTAGTAATTTGCCACAAGATATCACCTGAGTCGATTTGGCCAATTACATTAAAAGGAAAAAAATCGAACAGTTCTCGAGGATTTGCTTCGATCTTATTTATTTAATCAGGCAATTAAAGAAAACCTTTTTTTTCTTTTGTAACAAAATATCTTTATAAGGAATTAAGGTTCTTAAGGGGTAATTTTAGATAGTTCTTTTAAATTTTGGGTTATTTTAGAATGTTTAATGGACATTTTTAAACAGTCATTTTAGACAGTCTGGGTCATTTTAGAGTTCTCCCACAGTTTGTGTCATTTTTGATAGTTTAGTCTCGACCAATACAATTCTAATTTTACACAGTAAAAAAATATCTGTTAATTTTAACCAAATATATACGATATTTTATGTTAATCCATAACTTTATGTTTAGTTTACAACCAACTGTAATCTCTTAACTAATTAAGTAGTTTGTAATTATAATTATATAAACCTATATTCAAGTTTGTAATTATACTTATATAAAAACTATATTTACATTTACATCTAGTTTAATTCTAGTATCGGTATCATTGATGTAATAACACTGTATTGTTAAATTTTTAATTGAGTTTTTTTATTTGTCTTTTTCATATTTGTAATTATGGCATATAATAAATGTTTTTTAACATTTACTGTGTAGATTATTAGCATATTTATTGCAAAATTATTGTAAATTGTAATCCTATTTGTAAATTTTTTTTTAAAATGCAATAAATGTTTTAATTATTGTTATAATTATTTGTTGATTTAATAACAAAATCCTATATCAACAATGCAACCATAATTCTTGTAATTTTCAGAAAGGACCTTATTTTTACAAACCATTTTTTAGAACCATTAACAAAAGTATTTGTTGGAAATTGCGTACTTAAATAAAAAGAATTTTCAATGATGTGTACTGTCCTTTAAATTTTTCTTCTTAAGTAAGGTTCGTGGGTTTAGGACGTAAAATAAAAACAAATTCCTTTTTTTAAGAAAAATAGCCGACGTTTGTCAAGGCTAAAAATGAGTTAAAATAGTCGAATTAGTCCATGAAGTTATAGTAAATATAATACTGTATATACAATGTATACATATATAAATAATTTAGATTTAGATCAATTTCTATAAATATAACAAAACAATAAGTTAACAACTAGAACCCTCTAAATATAGTTTTAATTGAGTTAACAAACAAAAATTCTCCACATCAACTAAATAAGCTTACCTATTTTTATAATGAAAGTATATAGTCCATGTGTTAAAATAAAAATAAAGAATATACCTGGTAAATTAATTATTTAGAGTTTTTATTCGTTTTACTTTTTTCTTTAACGGTATTTTGCTTGTAAATTGAAATGATATGGTTGTATTGGGTATTTAAATTTTGAGTATCTATCTTACAATTTAGTGTTATTTAATGTTATGTGTATCATTTCACTTATTGTTTGCTTCATATAGTGATTTTCTATGTCTAAAATTTTAAAATTTTTAAAATTAAAATTACGTAATGTGTTTTAACAGTGATGTTGAGCTAGAGCTGTTTTTTCTTTTTTGTTATTGTTGGAATCTTTACAGTCATATTTGTGTTGGTATAGTCTGTTTTTTAAATATTGTTTTGTCATCCCTATGTAACATTTATCACACATGCTATTTTATGTTTTAAATTTGATTGTAATAAGGGAGGTGTTTTTTTTTTTAATTTTGTAAATAAACTGTTTGTTAATTTGTTGTTATAGAAGGCTAACCGGAATTGATTGTTTTTTAATTTTATATTTTTTTGTATTTTTTCTGATAGTCCTTTCACGTATGGAAACCGAAAATAGGTAATTTTTTCCTCTGATTTTTTATCTTTTTGTAAATATTTTAGTATATTACAAAAGATCCAGGTTTTTTTAACTTGTCCTCCCAATTTTAATGAAAAACATAATAAATATTCAAAACATCAGTACCTTGGCGTGTCTCCTGAATCAAATATTTGAGTGATTTTATTTTAAAATATATTCAATTTATCTTAAATTTTTCAATTTTACTACAAACTATAAAATATTAAATAATGTATTTTTCATATTTTATCATAGATTAGAATAATAGCAATTTGTAAAAAATTAATAATCTTTGTACTCACATTTACCCGTCAGTTCTGTGTCCAATTTTAAAATTCAAAATTCCTGCGAAATATTGAAGTTTAAACGTTCAGTCCTCGTTTTAACTCAAGTGTTGGTAAAAAATTACCTACAGAGCCCGCCCTTTGCACGACAGTCATCTTGAAAACAATGCAAGCGGCGAAGTTGCGGGGAATGCACGTATAGTTCCAGTCAAAATTTCAGCACTGTGGTGAGTAGTTATTTTCTTACGTATATATATTTTATTGTAATTTATATAAGGCTATATGTGATTTGTTGATAAGTAGCATCCACTAATAAAAAATATCAGTAAAATACTTAATTCCGAATAATAATCTCAAATTTGTATCCCATTCATCAGTACCGTGTCGTCAGTTCCATGTTCGATGTTTCGGTTATCTTTTTTTCGCAAACTTCAATTTAAATTCTGCTTGCGCAGAACTTATTTATTTAATGTCATTATAAACTCGAATAAATTTGGTGTGGGTTTCATATCTAATAATTGAGATATCTATATACCCAAAATCCACCAGCCGCCACTGATGTGTGGTATTATTTGATTTTAGGATATTTAATGTATAATATGCTCAAAGTTGCAATAATTCTTATATTTTCCAATAAATTATGTATTTAATTAGTACCCTGGTATACTCGTCACTTTCCTTGCATTCAAATTTAGAAAACACAGATATTTAAGAAACTGTTTGAAAAAGTGACTGGCCCGGTCTGGAGTATATTTATTATATTATCTATGTTCTCATAACAACATACTGTTAAATTTTCTTCGAAAACTATATAAACAAAATGAGGTAATAAGTTGCCCAACTTTTGTAGAATCACCCATATCTAACAATGGAATTTTTTGATCGATTTGCATCTAGATTGTGAATTTCAGTTTATTACAAACTCATGTTAACAAATCTGATTTTTATAACAGTGTAACAAAAACGTGTATAATAAAACACAGTTTTTTTTAA